TGCCTGTGTCACTGACGAACCAATGAGGTTCCAACATACATCTTGTCCTCTGCGTCTTCCTTATTTCACTTTCATCTTTCCTGTTAAGGTAAACAAAAATATCAGCCAACAATCATCTGGTAGAACTACTCTCAATTGCTAATTTCAGCCATAAGTTGGCTTTGGATACCAGGAATCAGCAAAAATCATTGGAAGCACTCAATGAGAATCAGTTGTCTATATGGAATTTACAGTAAGGAGTATTGTAGTTTTAGTATTTTTTGTAAATTGTGTGCTATACATCCTTTCTGTCAGTAAAATGTATAATAAACTTCTGTTGTATGTATGTTTATATTTACATACGTGTGTGTGCATACATACGCATGTATACATACATATTCTTCCTGGCGAGCCTGTAACTTATGCATACATTACTATTCCTATTCATAAATTCCGAGTCTGCTTGATCCTGCTTTATGGGATTAGTAGACCATTCCTCCCACTCCATTCCCACCGCTTCATGATTCCGGCTCTTCTCACCACCTCCCACTTAAATACCTCCCACCGGGCTTCCAGCCCCCACACGGCTGCCATCAGTGCTCCCGTTCAAACAACTACTCCCGACTGATCAAGCCCACATTCTTTTTTTTTTCATTTAAATCTCCTCTAAAATGTTCACTCCACTAGATAATCTGACAGTTTTGTCTTGTTTTTTATTGGTGGTGAAAATACGCACAACAAAACCTTCACTGATTCAACAGTTCCCACATGTCCAGTTCAGTGACATTGATGACATTCTTCATGTTGTGCAGCCTTTGTCACTATCCTTTTCCAGATTCCTCCACCAGCATTAACATAAAGTCACTGCCCCCATCTAGTTATCCAGCGCTGCTATAACAGAAATACCATGAGTGAGTGGCTTTAACAAATAGAAATTTATTTTCTTACAGTTAGGAGGCTAGAAGTCCGAATTCAGAGCATCGGCTCTAGGGGAAGGCTTTCTCTCTCTGTCCACTCTGGAGGAAGCCTTTGTTCCTCTGCAGTTGTCATGTGGCCTGGCATCTGTCTTCCCCCATCTCTGCTTTTTTTATCTGAAAAGAGATTCATTTAAGACACACTCTACACTAATACTGCCTCATTAACATAACAAAGAAAATCCATTCCCAAATGGGATTATAACTACAGGTATAGGAGTTAGGATTTAAAACACATGTTTTGGGGGGACACAATTCAATCGATAACACCCCCTAAGCAAAAACTCTCTCTTTCCCCTTCCCTCCCATCCCTAGTAACTGCTAATAATCTTTGGTTTCTATGTATCTGCTTATTTCATATGAGTGAGATCGTACAGTATTTGTCTATTTGTGATTGGCTTATTTCACTCAGGATGATGTTTTCTAGATTTATCCATATCGTGGCATGCATCAGGACATCATTTTTCTTTATGGCTGAGTAATATTCCATTGGAGCCCTGGTGGTGCAGTGATTAAGAGCTACGGCTGCTAACCAAAAAGGTCGGCAGTTCGAATCCACCAGCCCCTCCTTGGAAACCCTATGAGTCAGTTCTACTCTATGCATTCATCTGTTGATGAACATTTCAGTTGTTTCCACCTTTTGACTATTGTGAAAAGTGTTGCAATGAGCACTGGTGTAAGGGCCAAGCCCACATTCTTGACCTTTCAAAGCCCTCTGTTCATACTTCTTTCTGGCCATTTCCAGCACAATGCAGAGAAAATATATTGCTTAATACTGGAAGCCTATAAAGTGTGAAGTTTATATGAAGTTATAAAGTGTGGGGCAGTGTTTCCTGCAGGGCAATCAGAACCCTGAGGAAGGGGAGGAAGGAATTCAAGAACAACTGTGAGTGGGGCTCCTCCCATCAGCCTCCCCCAGCTGTGTTCTCCCTCCCAGCCTGCAGGGGGTGCTGTACTCACCGCCAGATTCAGCTCCAGCCCAGCCTCCTTCATGTGCCGTGCTTTACCCCTTCCCAGAATTTCTTGGAGGAACCCTGTAAGCCGTAAAGCAACGAGAAATGACACACAACTCTAGGATTGCAGTTTCAGCACTTCAAAAACCTGGTGCTTCCTTCTGAATATTTGTCTTGCAGTGGATATTTGAGGCGTGAATTGGGCAAGCTGCCTCTGTCACTTGGTCCAGACTTCTTTCCTGCATTCATTCGTTCATTTATTTAGCAGTCCGTCTTCTTGCTCCTACCATGTGCCAGGCACTGTCTAGATACTGGAGATCAAGCATGAACCATCCCAGCCTTTGCCCTCCCAGAGCGCATGTTGTTGTTGCCAGGTGCTGTCAAGTCAATTCTGATTCATAGCAACCTCGTGACAGAGTCAAACTGCCTCATAGCGTTTTCCTGGCTGTAATCTTTATGGAAACAGATCACCAGGTCTTTCTCTCACAGAGCCACTGGGGGGTTTGAACTACCAACCTTTTGGTAAGCGATTGAGCACTTAACCATTTATGCCATCAGGGCTCATAGCTGTGGCATATCCCAGGTCATCGTGAGTTTTCAAAATGATAGCTAGTTGCTGTGAGTAGATTCTGACTCATGGTGACCCCATGCATGTCAGAGTAGAACTGTGCTCTGTAGGGTTTTCAGTGGCTGATTTTTCAGAAGTAGATCGCCAGGCATTTCTTCCAAGATACCTCTGGGTGGGCTTGAACCTTTAACCTTTCAGTTAGCAGCCCTTTATTAAAACAAAACAGTTTGACAGTAAATTATATTAACTTATCAAATAGATAACTTTGCGTAAAACAAGCATTTAAAGTAGACAAACTCCTGAGTGTAATTTGGTACCTTCCTCATGATCCTTTCACTTCCGTGTTCTTTCCCCTCTTCTGTGCCTTTGTGACTTCAAAGAGGACAGGCTGCTTCCTGCCTCCCAGTGGTTGAGGAGCAGCCGCTGGGATGTGGCTTCTCCTTGTGCTCCTGAGCGTCCTTGCAGAGGGTAGAGAAAGGAGAGTCAAACACAGCCCTGGGTTCTGGAAGCTTCATAGGCGTCTCCACTGCGTCCCTAATCTTGGGGCAGCAAGGTGCCCTCTTTGACAGCAGCGGTTGTAATAGTAGCGACACTTGCACATTTGCACATGCCTACTGGGCACGGGTCTATGCACTGCACGTGTGTTAACTCGTTAACCTCAGAACGACCTGTGGAGATAGTCTGTCATACCAAAAACCAAACCTGTTGCCATTGAGTCAATTCTGACTCACAGCGACCCTAAAGGTACTGTTATCCCATTCACAGAGAAGAGCACTGATGCCTTGAGGTTGAATAACTTGCCCAGCTGGGGCAGAGTTGAGATTTCGACCCAGCAGTCCAAGCTCTTACCCACTCCTCTATAGCCTCTCTTAGGAGCCAAACAGAGCTTGTGTTTGTCCCCCTGGCCAGTTTAAGCTTTGTAAGGAGGAGACTCATGGTGATCCCTGGTGCAAAGGAACAAAGTGCTGCCTGGTCCCATGTCATCCCCATGGTTGGTTGCAGATTGGACCGTTGTGATCCACAGTGTTTTCACTGGCTGATTGTTGGAAGTAGATCACCAGGCCTTTCTTCCAAGTCCATCTTAGTCTGGAAGCTCTGCTGAAACCTGTTCAGAATCATAGCAACACGCAAACCTCCTCTGACAGACAGGTGGTGGCTGTGCATGAGGTGCATTGGCTGGGAATCAAACCTGGATCTTCCACATGGATGGTGAGAGTTCTACCACCCCGCTGTGGGAGGTTGTCCCTGGGTGGTACAGACAGTTAACATGCTTGGCTGCTAACCAAAAGGTTGGATGTTTGAGTCTACCCAGAGGTGCTTTGGAAGAAAGGCCTGGTGATCTGCTTCTAAAAAAATCAGGCACTGAAACCCCTATGGAGCACAGTTCTACTCTGATGTACATGGGGTCGCCATGAATCGGAATTGACTCGATGGCAGCTGGTAGTAGGTAGGGAGAGGGGTGGTGCAGGGACCATTGAGAAGGGGCCTGGGACTTGGGCCTAACCCTGGCCATGGGGTCATGGGGCAGGAGTGCCCGAAAGCTGAGCCCAGGACTGCCCTTGGAGGAGGCCAGAGGGGGCCCTACCCTGAGCTTTGTGCTTCAGGGCTCCCCCCTTTTGGCCCTTACCAGCTATGTCTGCTACCAGTAGGATCAGTAGTCCTCAGGGCCGAGGGGATGAGCCCACCCAAAGCCCATGATCCCCCTTCTAGATCATGCTGCAGGTGCATGGATTGCCCTATGCAAACCACCTGAGCCACCAGTACGTGCATCCCTAGACCTGGGGCTGGCTGGGGGGCTGGCTGGGGGGCTGGCTATCCATGGGATGTAGATGAACTGGCACGTGGGCTGGTGTTTACATGCTGATGCTGGTACACAGGCTCCTGGGGTGCGGTGGGAGCCAGCCATCCCCATGCACAACACTCCAGTGTGAACCTCTGAGGAGCTGTGGAACCCTTAAGTTAGAAGCAGGCCTCCTGGGGGTTGTGAAGGTGTCAAGGCAGGAGGCCAGGACTCCTGAGTTCTCTTATCGGGCACTGGTAGAGTGGACGTGGCGAGTCTTGGGCAGAGCTGAGCTGGGACCAGGTGACATGAGTCTCCTCTCCTCCACCTTCCTGGGTCAGTGGGTTGAGGATATCTGCCCCTTTTTTATTTTCCAGGGGCATTGTGTGATACGGGCTTTGGAGAGAACAGCGCTCCCTCTTGAAAGAGCATTTCTAGTCGTTTCTGCCCTTGCTGGTTTCTTGCTAGGTCCCTGTGTGGTTGAAACAGTTTTCACTGAACTGTTAACCATTGGTGGTTCCAGCCCACCAAGCAGCACCGTGGAAGAAAGCCCTGGTGATCTGCTTCCATAAAGATCACAGCCTTGAAAATCCTATGCGGCACAGTTCTACTCTGTAACACATGGGGTCACTGTGAGTTGGAATTGACTCGAAGGCAGTGGATTTGGTTTGGGGTTTTTATTTTATTTTTTTTTGCTAAAAGCCTCGGCCTGGCCTCAGTGCTCCCTTTTGCTTGTTATTCCTCAGCTGGGGGGTTCCACTGGCCATCACTGCGGTCGCCGTCTCGCTGAAGAAGATCGGCTACGATGCATCGGATGTTTCTGTGGGCTGGTGCTGGATCAACCTGGAGGCTGAAGACCGCACCCTGTGGATGCTGCTGACTGGAAAGCTATGGGAGATACTGGCCTACATCACACTGCCCGTGATCTACATCCTCATCAGGAAGCACATTAACAGGGCGGTAGGTGTGCCCACGGCAGCCCTGGGGAACCCACAGAGGACAGGCCACGTCTCTGGGGACAGAACTAGTAACAGGCCAGAGTGACACACACTTTATTACACAGGTCATCTCATTTGCTAACAACGTAACCCTCTTAGGAGCCAGGTCCTGTTATCCCTCCATTTGTAGATGTGGAAACTGAGGCTCACAGGGATTACAGAACCTGCCCAAACTCACGCAGCTCCCAGGGAGCGAGCCGTTCTCAGACTCTGTGCGCTCAGCTGCAGCTCTCTACTGCCTCCTGGTGGACAGACTGCAGTGGTTACTTAAACTTGAAAGGAATTTAGATGAAAGGTGAGAATGTATCCAAATGAGAATCGACCTGAGATGCCCCTAGGAAGGAAGGACTGTGGAATTTCATTATCAGCGAGGCAAACAACTCACCTAATTATCCTTGGGCATTAAAATTACAAAATAAATGGTAGGGAGTCCCTGGGTGGTGCAAACAGTTAATGCACTAAGCTGCTAACAGAGAGGTTGGAGGTTTGCCCCCAGAGGTGCCTCGGAAGAAAGGCCTGGTAGTCGATGTCCAAAAAATCAGCCATCGAAAACCAACCCTATGGAGCACAGATCTACTCTGACACACATGGGGTTGCCATGAGTTGGAATTGACTCAATGGCAACTAGTTTTTAATAAGTGGTAGACTTTTCAGGACCCAGGAACTCATAGATCCATAGGCTGGGTTTCCAAGAAAGTCTAGGAAAGAGTGCTTTTCCTCTAACAATTTGGCCAGAATGTTCCTTGTTCTAACTACCAGTTATGCACGTGTAATCTGGACTTCCTTCTAGTCACAAGCAAACTCCTACCCAAAAGGCCTCTGATTAATCCACCCGGCCATTTAGTTGATACATTTTATTGAGCATCTATCCGTACAAAAGCACAGTGTGTGAGTTTATGATGGAGTCAGAGGTGGGTCCCACCCTCCCAGAGAGAGGCAGACAGGGAAAGGAATAAGAAAAGACAAAAGGTGGCAGGTAACTGGGACAGTCAGAGAGATTCCGATGGGATGCTCTGAATGAGACTTGCGAGCTCAATTGCAGGCTTCCTGGTGAGCTTCCCTGTGTCTCTTTCGCCATCTGAGTCTGTAGAGGCTGAAATTGTAGAAAGATGTGTCCCGTCTTTCAGGGTGTACTTTTGGCTCCGCAGCTGTTCCTGAGTTCAGAGCATGCTCCATCCGGCAGCTGTCTGTGACGTCAGGACACCTAATCCCTTCCCTGTGCCCAAGTGTGTCCTCCAGGCGAGACTCCTGGTTCTGTTTTTACACGGAAATTAACTGATCCTCCCCAGCCCTGCAGCCCTCTTCTAGCTGGGTGGAGTTGGTGCCGTAGTATCCATCAGGACTTGCAGTTGGTCTGAAATCACTCTTGTCTTCTGGCACATTTTTCCTGATGGCCTGGGCCAGAGTGCCTGTCCCTGCACCTCCTGCTTCCACTGTCTGGGGAAGGTTCTAGGCTCCTAAGAGCTCCGCCAGGATCTGTCCAGGACTGCCCCCTGGAAGTGCCCTTTCGTGTCTTTCTTCTTTTTCACCCCAGCCCCCGTAGGATGGGAAGCTGGGGGGCTGTGCCTATGAGGCTGACCCCTGCGTGTAAAAATGGACCCCCTGTTACAGCTCTGCAAGAAAAACGAGGCCTAGAGGGCAGGAAAGGAGCCCTGGTGGCACAATAGTTAGGAACTCAGCTGCTAACCGAGAGGGTCAGTGGTTCAAACCCATCAGCGGCTCCACTGGAGAAAGATGGGGCAGTCTGCTTCCGTAAAGATTACAGCCTAGAAAACCCTGTGGGGAAGTTCTGCTCTGTCACATGGGGTCACTATGAGTCGAAATCGACTCGACAGCACCCAGCAACAACAGCAGTGGGCAGGGAGGTGAGAATGTACATGCTGTTCCCAGCCTCTCGCTGGAAAGGAGAGCTAAAAATAAATGAGCTGGGAGCGGGCTTTGCTCTGAAGGGCAGCCCAGCAGCCCCAGTGCTGCCAGCTCCCCCACCCCCACTAGTTCTGAAGGGACTTGGGGGCAAGGGTGTCAGCTTTCTGGTCTGCTGCTAAAGGCCCCAAGAGGAGGAGAGAGCAGGTGCTCTGAGCAGGTGTGGCGCAGAAGCTCGGCTGCTCGGGGATGCCAACATGTCTAGTTCATTAGGACACCACGTGTCAGCTGAACAACTTGGGGTCCACCTAGATTTCAGTGTCCCAGACACATAGACCAGGCTCAAAAATGCATCTTTGTTATGAGTTGTTTCATCTATTTATAAAAATCCAAGTGCTCCCTCCTTCCTGTCACTGTAGAACTTGTCCAGGAGCAGGAGAAGGCCCAGGCTGATGGTGCTCCCTCTTTTGGACCAGAATTCTCTTCACAGCTGTTGACTGAGCCCCTCCCGTGGGGCAGGCTGTTCTGGGGGCTGGGGGCCCAACAGGCCTTTACCTTGGGGAGCTTGCATTCTGGAGGAGGAGGGCAATTGTATGCAATAAGAGACATAGTATGATCTGCGAAAAACCAACACAAATACAGAGCACAGGGATGCTGTTGTCTGGGAACTGCCTTATAGTGTAAATAGGGCTGTCCAGGTGGCCCTCATTGAGATGGTGATGTTTGAGTGAAGACTTTGGGGCGAGGCAGTGAGCAGTGTAGATGAATGTGGAAGAGCACTACAGGTAGAGGGAACAGCCAGTGCAAAGGCTCTGAGGCTGGGGTGTGCCTGGCATGTTTGGGGAGTAACAAGGAGGCCTGTGTGGCTGGAGTAAAGATGTGGAGAACAGTAGGAATGAGGTCAGAGCTAGAGTGAAGTTGGCCCTTATGGGATATTGTAAGAACACGGAAAAGGGGAGCCTTTGAAGGGTCTTGGGTGGAGGACTGACTTGTCCAACTTAGTTTTTAAAGGAACTGTGCTGCTTCTGGGCTGAGAATAGACCAGTGGGGAGGAGAGCCAGGGGTGGTAAGGGTGAGGCAGGGAGACCAGTTAAGAAGAGATTGCAGTGACCCAGAGAAGTGGTGGTGGTGGTGAGCTCCAGGTGGTGGTATGGACAAGAGTGTCCCAATTCTGCGTCTGTTTGGAAGGTAGCCACCGACAGACTTGTCTGTGAGTTGGATGCAGGCTTTGAGAGAAGAGTCAAAGACGACTGCCAAGTTTGTGGCCTGGGCAACTGGAAGAGTGGAATTCCCATTCACTGAGACCAGGAAGGGGCAGTGGGCTTGGGGTCAAGATCAGGCGCTCGGTTTTGGACACAGAAAGGGTAGGACTCCCTTGAAGAATCCACGTGGAGATGTGAGTAGGCAATGTGTCTACAGGTTGGGAGTCCAGGGGTGGAGTCTGGGCTGGAGACTCACCAGCATGCAGGTGGGAAAGCCTGGGTATGTCCTCGTGATTCAGTGCTTCCCCTTCTTGGGCCATGTCAAGGGCCAGAAGAGAGCTGGGTGCCTGGGCACATGTGGCTGGGGCCACCGTCCGTCCGCTCAGGCCCACCCTTGTCTCCCTGCACAGCACGAGGCGCTCTCTGAGTACCGGCCTATCCTCTCCAGCGCACACCCGCAGCAGCACTGCACCTCCGTAGCTGATAAGAAACTGGTCCTCATCCCACTCATCTTCATCTGCTTGCGGGTCTGGAGTACCGTACGGTTCGTCCTGACGCTCTGTGGCTCTCCAGCCGTGCGCATGCCAGTGCTGGTCGTTCTGCACGTAGGTCTACCTTCCTGGCCCTGCTGCTCCATGGTGGTGGGAGCAGTGGGGTCAGGTCTCCTCCCCAAGCAGAGTGACACGCCCCAACGAGCCGGCTTGCACGGGACTGGCGAGTTGCTCAGCTCTGCTGCGCCGTCCCACCCTGCAGAGATAGTGAGGCGTGCACTTAGGGCATCTCTGGAGGGGGGCCTTGGAGAGAGACAATGGGGAAATGCCTGTGGCTCTAGCACGTTCCTAGGGACGAGGTGCTCTCCAGTGATCTAGGATTAGCCTTGGGAGGGTTGACTGGTCCTGTGTCCCTCCCAACCCGAAGCCCTAGAGACAGGTCTATGCCAGGCCTGCAAGTCCAGATCTCCCCTTGGTCATCCCAGGCCAGCCTCAGGGGTGGGTGGAAAGTTCTGGGTGAGCAGTATTTCCCAGCCTCCTGTGTCTGTGCTGTCACAGCTAGCTCCAGCCTTGCTTCATGCCTCCTCCTTCCTCCCTGACAGGGGATCGGGAACACGTTCCAGGGAGGAGCCAACTGCATCATGTTCGTCCTCTGCACTCGCACCGTCCGGACTCGGCTCTTCTCTCTCTGCTGCTGCTGCTCCTCCTCCCAGCCTGCTGCCGAGAGCCCGGTCGGCCCTCCGGAGGTGCAGGCGCCCTCCAAGAGTGGAGACTCTCAGATATCCAGACGGACTCCCGTGGAACTTCCAAGCACCTGAACTTCTGTCCTTCCTAGTTCTAAGCTTAGGTGCTGCACCCTGGGGGACTGGTGGCCCTGTGGGTTCTGATCCAGGGCGTAGGTGCGGGAGTGGGTGTCTGCTCTGTAAGCTCCCGACCCCTGGTGGCGGGGAGCAGCTGCAAATTCAGCTTCTTCTACCTCCTGGACCCTCGGGCAGCCGTGTCCCCTTACAGTGTGTTCTGGCACACGTGGGGGTCTGTCTACATGAGGGTCAGTGATGAGATTCAGGGAAACCAGCAGTCCATTGTCACTGCCACAGTGCCTCAGTGTCAAGTGGCCGTCAGCCTCTCGGTGACCACCAGCACTGTCTACAATGTGAGGCACCTACACCTTCGTGAAGAGGGACGTGCACTGTGCACCCATCCTATATGTGACTAAATAAAGTGCCAGGGGTACAGAGGTGTGTCCCCAGCATCATGGAGCAGATTCCTGGTTTGTCAGGGTGTTGAGAGTCCCTGGAGAGCCTGGCTTTTCTCTGAGAGCTTGGCTGGTCAGTAAGGAGCCAGCTGCCTCTATCCAGTCTGTAAGGTCCTCTGAGGTTTCTTGGTGACCACGTGGGCACATCCCAACACCACTGCTTAGGTACCGCAGGTCTCAGGGCCTCCTGAACTCCCTCTATCTAGGCTGCCAAGCCTGGATGTAGATTGTGTTTAAGTTTCAAGGACGGGCCAGAATCCAAATGCCTGCCTCCACCAGGCAGTTACTTTAAATACAGGTTCTCACCTTCCATGCAGGGCCAGGGCCAGGGGCAGGAGCAGGTACCACAGAAGCCTTGAGGATGCCCACCACAGTGTTGCTGGGTCTTTTTTACAATACTACCCTTAGGAGGACTACAACGTGGGTGAGTTGGGAGGCAGTGTGGCTTATTCACTTGCTAGTTAGTTTTGGAGCCCTGGTAGCACAGTGGTTAAGAGCTCGGCTGCTAACCAAAAGGTTGGCAGTTCAAATCTGCCACCTACCTATCGGGCAGTTCTACTCTGTCCTGTAGGGTCACTATGAGTTGGAATGACTCAAGGGCAATGGGTTTGTTTTTGGTTTAGTTTAGTTTTTGTAGGAAAGGCAACCAGAGAGTGAATGATTCAAATACAGATTCCTCCCTGAAGGAGACTCGGCTGTTTTGAGGTTTGGGGCAAGTACAGACACGGGTCATGGGGTGAGTATTTACATTGAAAAGAAAAAAAGATTTAAAATAAGCGTCTCTATCTCTATCTGTAAAGGAGCCCTGATGTGGCAGTGGTTACAATGCTCAGCTGCTAACAGAAAGGTTGGCAGTTTGAACCCACCAGCCACTTCACAGGAGAGAGATGTGGCAGTTTGCTTCTGTAAAGATTTACAGCCTTGGAAACCCTGTAGGGCAGTTCCACCCTGTCCTATAGGGTCACAGTCTCTATCTATAGTCTATGACTCTTCTACCAACACTTTCCTCTTATTGCAGAAAGTGATGTGCCTGCCAACTGGTCCCAAGAATTAAATCACAGAAGCCATTGGCTAAGAATGGAGCCGGCCACCCCCAACGTGTCCACAGTACAGAGTTGTTTTGGGAGGTGTAAACCTCACCGGGGGAGGGCTGGGTACAAACCTTGCCTAGTCTGTGTCCTTCCCTTAGTTCCATCCCAGCTCTGCAAAATTGAAAAGATTTTATGAACCTAGCACAATGGTTCTGAATTCAAACCAAACCCATACCTTAGTATCAGTTCCTCTTTTACTCTCAAAAGCAAAATCTCTATCAGGAAGAGAATCTGAAAGCAATAGGCACCTCGAGAAATAAGTCCAAAACGCTCATTTTTCCCTTCTTGTAAAACCACATTTTTTTAAATGAAAATCAGCAAGAGGCAAACCAAGAACCCGTTGCTGTCTAGTCACTTCCAAATGGTGACCCCATGTGTTCCAGAGTAGAGGTGCTTCCTAGGGTTTTCTTGGCTATAATCTGTATGGATGGAAGCAGTTCACCAGGCCTTTCTTCTGAGGAGCCACTGGGTGGGTCTGAACCGCCAACCTTTAGGTTGGCAGCCGATTGCAAACCGTTTACACCACACAACCCCTTAGAATTCAAGGAATGATTTGGGCTGCCCTAGGGAAAAAAGGTTTGGGCGGACTTGCGTCAGGTACACCTTAGTCCTTAAAGTGACATCTTTGCTTTTCAACACTTTAAAGATGTCATTTGCAGCAGATCTGCCTAATGCAATGCATCGTTTGATATCCTGACTGCTGCTTCCACGGGCATTGACTGTGAATCCAAGTAAAATGAAATCCTTGACTTCAATCTTTTCTCTGTTTATGATGATGTTACTTATTGGTCCAGTTGTGAGGATTTTTGTTTTCTTTATGTTGAGGTGTAATCCGTACTGAAGGCTGTGGTCTTTGATCTTTATCAGTAAGTGCTTCAAGTCCTCTTCACTTCCGGCAAGGAAGGTTGTGTCATCTGCAAATAGCAGGTTGTTAATGAGTCTTCCTCCAATCCTGATGCCCTGTTCTTCATATAGTCCAGCTTCTCAGATTATTTGCTCAGCATACAGACTGAATAAGTATGGTGAAAGGATACAAGTCTGATGCATATCTTTCCTTATTTTAAACCACACAGTATCCCCTTGTTGTGTCTGAACGACTGCCTCTCGGTCTATGTACAGGTTCTACATGAGCACAATTGTTTTCGAATTCTCATTCTTCACAAAGTTATCCATAATTTGTTATGATCCACACAGTTGAATGCCTTTGCATAGTCAGTAACACACAGGGAAACATCCTTCTGGTATTCTCTATTTTCAGCCAAGATCCATCTGACATGAACAGTGGTATCCCTAGTTACTCATCCTCTTCTGAATTCAGCTTTAATTTCTGGCAATTCCCTCTCCATGTACTGCTGCAACCATGTCTTCTGGGATTCTTCTAGTTTCAGTCAGACCTGGACCTTTCTTCTTTTTTGATGTATGCATTTATTGCTATAAAATTTCCTTTGAGCACTGCTTTTGCTGTATTTTGGTATGTTGTATATTCATTCTTATTTGAATCTAAGAATTTTTTAATTTCATTTTCTTCTATGACCCAGTAGTTTTTAAGTAAGGTATTATTCAGTTTCCGTGTATTTAATTTTTTTCCTTGCTCTTTCTATTATTGATTTCTAGTTTTATAGCATTATGGTCAGAGATGGAGCCCTGGTGGAGCAGTGGTTAAGCATTCAGCTGCTAACCAAAAGGTCGGCAGTTCGAATCCACCAGCCGCTCCTTAGAAACTCTGTGGGGCAATTCTACTCTGTCCTATAGGATCGCTACGAGTTGGAATTGAGTGGATGACAATGGGTTTTGGTATGGTCAGAGAAGATGCTTTGTATTATGTCAGTGTTTTTTAATCTATTGAGGCTTGCTTTGTGGCCTAGAATATGATCTATTCTGGAGAATGACCCATGTGCATTGGAGAAGAATATGTATTGTGCTGCTGTTCAGTGGTGTGTTCTGTATATGTCTATGAGGTCAAGTTGCTTGGTTGTTATTTAGATCTTCTGTATCTTTGTTGAGTTTCTTTCTAGTTATTCTGTCCATAGTCGAAAGTGGTATGTTCAAGTCTCTGTCTTAGTTATCTAGTGCTGCTAAAACAGAAATACCATAAATGGGTGGCTTTAACAAACAGAATTTTTTTTCTCTCACAGTTTGGGAGGTTAGAAGTCCAAATTTAGGGTGCCAACTCTAGGGAAGGCTTTCTGTCTCTGCCGGCTCTAGAGGAAGGTCCTTGTCTCTTCTCAGCTTCTGTGCCTGGGCAATCTTCATGTGGCTTGGCGTCTCTCTTTCCGCATCTCTGCTTCTCTCACTTGCATGTTTAACCTCTTTTATATCTCAAAGGAGATTGATTTAAGATACACCCTATGCTAATCTTGTCTCATTAACATAACAAAGACAACCCATTCCCAAATGGGATTATAACCACAAGCATAGAGGTTAGGATTTACAACACATATTTTTGGGGGACACACTTCAATCCCTAACAGTCTCCTACTATTACTGTAGAACTGTCTATTTCTGTTTCCAATTTTGTTAAGAGTTTGTTTTATGTATTTTGGAACTCTGTCATTGGGTGCATAAATACGTATTTTTGTTATGTCTTCTTGGCAGATTGACCCTTTAATCATTATATAATGCCCTTCTTTTTCTCTTATAATGGATTTTGACTTAAAGTCTATTTTATCTGAAATTATTATTACTACTACTTCTCTCTTTTGGATACTGTTTGCTTGATATATTTTTTTCTATGCTTTGATTTTTAACTTGTTTATGTCTTTGTGTCTAAGGTATGTCTCTTCTAAGCAACATATTGGTGGGTCATGTTTTTTTATCCATTCTGCCACTCTGTGTCTTGACTGGGGCATTTAGTCCATTTACATTCAGTGTAATTAATGATAGGTACGGATTCATTGCTGTCATTTTGTTATACTTTTTTTGTGGTGTTAATGGTTTCTTTGTTCATCTTAATTTTCTGTGCTGAGTTCTTTTTGTATATGGATTTTCCTTTCCTATTAATCGTTGTTGCTGTTTTTGTATTTACTGATTCTTTTTTTTTTTTTCTTCTTTATTTTGGTGAGTAGGTTTATTACTTTTCTTTGTGGTTACCCTGAAGTTTACCTTAATCCTCTTAAAATTAAAATAATCTCTCATATCTTGAAATCACCTTGACTTCCTTCCCATATGGAAGTTCTATAACTACATCTTTTATTTCCCCTTTTGTTCTGAAGTTGTTGTTGTTTACAGCTTAACTCCTCTGGTTCCCTGTAGTCAGTTTTTAGCTTTATTTTGATTTTGTGAAGTCTTCATCTGGGTTGGTATCTGGGTGATGTTGTCATGTGTCTTTATCTCCGGTTGTTGTCTCATGTCATTGGTTCTCTATCTGAAGGACTCCCTTTAATATTTCTTGTAAGGCTGGTCTGGTTTTTACAGATTTCCTTAGTTTCTGCTCATCTGGGGATGTCTTAGTTTTGCCATCATTTTTGAAAGACAGTTTTGCTGGATATATGATTCTTGGTTGGCAATTCTTTTCCTTCAGGATTTTACATATGCCATCCCATTGCCTGCTTGCCTGCATGGTTTCTGATGAGAAATCAGTGCTTAGTCTTATTGGTGGCCCTTTGTAAGTGATATTTCATTTTTCACAAGCTGCTTTCAGAATTCTTTCTTTGTCTTTGGTTTTGGAAAGCTTGATTATGATATGTTGAGGTGAATTTTGGGGTGGGGGGGATCTATCCTGTATGGGGTAATCTTCTCATCTTTCATGATATTTGGGAAGTTTTCAGCCAATATATCTTCAAAAATTTTCTCTGTACTTTTTACCCCTCCTCTTCTGGAATTTCTATTACACATAAATAATTCCTCTTGATGGTATCCCACATAACTCTTAGGCTTTCTTCATATTTCTTCGTTCTTTTTTCTGATCATTCCTCAAACAAATTAGTATCAAGGGATTTGTCTGCTATTTCACTGATTCTTTCTTCTGTTGATTCGATTCTACTTCTGTGTCCTTCCTTTGAATTATCTATTACTGATATTTTATTGTTAATCTTCTGAATTTCTAGTTGTTGTTTTTGTATGGTTTCTAATTGTCCATTGATTTTGTCATTTTCTTCTTGTATTGTTTTCCTGAATTCTGCTAGGGTTTTTCTGTGTTTTCCTTGAACTCTTTGTTGTTATTGTTAGGTGCCGTCAAGTCGGTTTGAACTCATAGCGACCCTGTGTACAACAGAATGAAACGCTGCCGGGTCCTGCACCATCCTCACAGTCATGGCTATGTTTGAGCGCATTGTTGCAGCCACTGTGTCAATCTATCTCTTTGAGCATCCTAAATATAAGTCTTTTGAATTCCTTCTCAGGTAGTTCTATTATCATTTCTTACTCAGGTTTTCTTTCCCTTTATTTTGCTCACTTGTTTGAACCATGTTATCCTGTTTTTTCATATGATTGTTATTGTCTGCTGTCTCTGAGGCATTAAGGTGTTATTTATTTATGTATTGATTGTATGTTTTTTTGTCCTGGTATTTTTTGTTTTCTTTTGTTTTGATATATCAGGGTGAGTTGGGGGGCACGTTCTGCTGATCACTGGTCTGGAGGCACAAGAGTGCTCACCACCTCTCTCCAGGTGGGCAGGGCAGCGCGGCAGGACGAGCATGTGTTGCTGTTCACCAGGTGTGCGGGACAGCTGGGGGTGGACTGGGAGGGCATGGGCTGCTGTCTGTCATTGGTCCAGTGGCACATGGGAGCACACTATGGTGGTGGACAACCAGCGGGACGGGTGCGCTCACTGCTGCTCACTGGGTGGGCAGAGTGGCAGGCAGGGGTGTGGCGGGCAACCAGTGGGGCGGGCATGCTCACTGCTGCTCACTGGGTGGGCAGGGTGGCGGGCAGGGAGGTGTGGCAGGCAACCAGGAGCGTAGGAGCATTCTCTGCTGCTCACTGGGTGTGCAGGGTGTTGGGTAGGGGGTGTGCAGCAGGTGGGGGATG